AACCCCAGGTGGTCGAAATTTCCGGAGCCCTCCACTACGGCGTCTCTCATAATCATATAGTGGTTTTGAAACGTTAAACCCCACAAATCAATCAATCTTTCACTGTGGCGTACAGCCGACATAACTCGTTTTCGTGATAGCCGACCGGGCTGAGCAGTGCAGCGCAACACCGCCAGAAGGCGATCGCGGCGCAGTTACCCTCCCCGTCGGTCCCTTCATTGCCGGGCGTCTGCCCACGACATGCACTTTCACGCATTTTGTCCCTGTTGGACGAACCGTTCACCCATTGGTTTAACGACTGCAGTTAGTCCAGCTTTGCCGAATTTCGGCTTAGAGTGATACCCTTTATCAATGCTATGTTTCTTTTTCTCTCCCAGTCTTCGCATATATACGTGACAAGCGTCAGAGAGAGAGAGAGAGAAAACATTTGTTGAAGACTGGCTAGTTAGTGAAGGTGGGGAGGATCCATTATTATATGAATACTCTGGCTTGAACCGACCGCCGGACTCGGTCGACGAGTTGATGCTGGTCAACTAGGTCCGGTGTGGAGATCGCACGCAGTCTCCCGGAGATCGCAATCGCCGTACCCGTTTCACTTGAGGATGGTTTGGGTCCGCATCTGGTGCTGCTTCTTGTTGTGCGGGGATGCTTGCTTTGCACAATATTACGAGGTGTACCATAGTGTCTGCCACATTGCAGTGTGGGCAGATGTAGTCGTGTAACGTTGGTCTCACATGTTGCAATAATATTCCGCGAGTGATATTGCTCTGTAGTCACTTGTAGTATAGTGTCACGCACTTCGGGTGAGGCCCCGCCGATCCAACATCGACGTGCGGCAGACTCGCAGGCTCCCACTTTACGCTTCGGCCTGCGACGCCTGAAAGGCCTCGAAGTGGCACATTTCAAATTTATTTGTAGGTTGATCGACCCGTGCGGGGTTGCACGTGTGGTGATGAATGAGCCTGACCGACGCACTCATAGAGCAGACACAGAGTTTGATTACACTTAGACAAACATTTAATTAAAACAGGGGCAAGGCAGGAAATTACAAAAATAACAAAGGAGGGAAACTGATACGCGATGGAAGGAACAGCTATGTAACAAAATATGCAAAAAAAACACTACAAAAGATACAGGCTAAAGACAAATATGCGGAACATTAATAAAATAACAACAAGATGGAAATCGTAAGAAAAAAAGGGTTACAAGGAAATAATTACATAATGATCATTGGTCGTGCTTTTGAATTTCTATGTGCGTCGCAGCGCACACAACTACACAGTTAAAAAAAAGGCTGGTTAAAACAATTTAGCAGTTTAAAAAAAAGTCACAATAAAAAGTTCCATACGGACCAGGCCAGCTCTTGGTGCACGTAGGGGAGTTGACGGGTGCCGCTGAAGGTCTCGCCGGCTTGGTAGACGACGAGGGTGCCCGGAATTGCAGCCGTCTCAATACGTTGCACGGGTCACTTCATGCTCGCCGCCTACGCGAGACTCGCGACACCGATGACCGCACTTGTTGCTGGCTGTACGTCAACTGCTCTTCCGATGCAGTTCAAACCGCCTCAGGGGCGTACACGTGCTCCCGTCTCATCTGGGAGTAATTTCCCTTGTTTAGATCGCCGGTGCCCCTTCCGGTACCGGTGCAGGGAAGACGAGCCGGCGCCACGCTGGGTCGTTATATTCGCCGGATGTCATCCCCCAACACAAAAACGCCCTTCCTTGGAAGATGGGGCCCGCGGATGCTCCGAAAATTGGAGTCGTTTGTGACATATAGGTACCTTCGTTTCTCGTAAGTTTGGGATGTGGCTTGGACATGTGTCCAAGCCAGCAGCCAGCAATTTCGCAGCAATGTGTGGTATGTGCGGGGAATCAGAATCGGTGACGACTGTCAGAAGTATAATATGAGTATATTGCTATTATATATATATATATATATATATATATATATATATATATATATATATATATATATATATATATATATATATATATATATATTGATACACAACAGCCGGCACTGCCTTGCTGCATCGCATCAATACTGGTGCCGCGAGTCCCATTCACCGACGTCCACGTGTTTCCGCGTCCGAGCGTACAGGCATGCAACAGGAAGTCGGAAAGATGCTTGCAAAAGACATAATCGAACCCTCTTGTAGCCCCTGGTCTTCTCCTGTCGTCCTGATCAGAAAGAAGGATAGAACATGGCGCTTTTGTGTTGATTATCGGCATCTCAACAAAATTACGAAGAAAGATGTTTACCCGTTGCCTAGAATCGACGATGCCTTAGACTGCCTTTACGGCGCTACGTATTTTTTCACTATCGACCTTCGATCTGGCTATTGGCAAATCGCTGTGGACGAGATGGACCGTGAGAAGACCGCATTCGTCACACCTGACGGTCTTTATGCCCTTTGGTCTCTGTAATGCGCCGGCCACATTCGAAAGAATGATTGCTCCAAGGGTTTAAATGGTCAATCTGCTTATGTTATTTAGACGACGTTATCGTTTTCTCGCCCACATTCGACTCCCATCTCAAGCGTTTATCGGCGATTATTGAAGTTTTTCGTTGAGCCGGACTTCAACTGAACTCGTCGAAATGCCACTTTGCTCGTCGTCAAATAACCGTACTTGGCCACATCGTCGATGCCGCAGGAGTCCGCCCGGATCACGAGAAAATTCGCGCCGTCACGGACTTTCCTGTTCCGAAGTCAACAAAGGGCGTTCGCAGTTTTGTGGACTTGTGCTCATACTTTCGACGGTTTGTTAAGGACTTCGCCATCTTTGCACGCCCACTCACAAACCTCCTGAAGAAGGACACCCCGTTTTTCTGGGGCGCTGATCAAGCCTCATATTTTTCCCAGCTCACGACGCTCCTTACACACCGCCGATTTTAGCTCATTTCCATCTATCAGCTCCAACCGAGGTTCGCACTGACGCTAGTGGGCACGGCATCGGGGCAATGCTATTGCAACACCAACGCGGATGCATGACCGTGTTATAGCATATGCAAGCCAACTGCTATCTACCGCCGAGCGCAACTATTCAATCACGGAGCGTGAGTGTCTCGCTCTTGTGTGGGCAGTCGCCAAGCTTCGCCCATACTTATACGGGCGTCCATTCCGGGTAGTCACCGACCACCACGCGCTCTACTGTCTGGCCTCACTCAAGGATCCCACAGGACGCCTCGCTCGTTGGTTTCTACGATAACAAGAATACACGTTCACCGTATCGTACAAAACAGGGCGGTCACATCAAGATGCGGATTGTTTATCACGCTACCCTGTGGAAGAGGCTGCCCATACTGACACCTTTCCAGACCTTCTCTCTGTGACGCAGCTACTCAACCTTGGCCACTAACAACGCCGGGATGCTTCCCTGCGAACCATCCTTGACAAGCTTGAGTCAATGCCTCGCGACGAATCTCTACAAATGTTCCTGGTAAAAGACGGGATCCTGTATTGCCGTAACCTCGATCCGTATGGCCATGACTTGCTCCCCGTCATTCCAGCACATCTTCGTGCGACTGTTCTCAGCTAGCTTCATGACGCTCCTTTGGCGGGCCACTTGGGCGTCGCTCGCACATACGACCATGTACGTCGTCGTTTCTTTTGGCCTGGTCTTGCCCGCTCTGTTCGACGCTACGTCGCCGCTTGTGAGTCCTGCCAGCGCCGCAAAAAGCCATCTTCCCTACCAGCTGGATTCCTTCAGCCGATCGACATTCCCATTGAACCTTTTTTTCGAGTTGGCCTCGACCTGCTTGGCCCATTCCCGATCTCCAGCTCAGGCAACAAATGGATCGCTGTCGCCACTGACTATGCGACACGGTACGCTATCACACGAGCACTTCCGACGAGTTGCGCAACCGATGTGGCGGACTTTCTGGTGTATGATATTATTTTAGTACACGGAGCTCCACGTCAACTTCTCACTGACCGGGGCCGGACCTTCCTATCAGCTGTCGTTGATGAAATCCTGCGCTCTCGCTCTGCCAAGCACAAGTTTATCACTTCGTACCATCCGCAAACGAACGGTCTTACGGAGCGCCTCAACCGCACCATAACCGACAGGCTTTCTGAATACGTATAGCGGCCGACCACCAGGACTGGGACGTTCATTTGCCATTTGTGACGTTCGCATATAATTCGTCACGTCACGACACTGCCGGCTATTCAACATTCTATCTTCTATACGGCCGAGAACCCGCCCTACCATTTGACACCTTGCTGCCCTCGGTCACTGAGTATGCCGGCGAAGCCATAGCGCGAGCCGACCACGCACGCCAACTCGCCCGCAGCCGCCTGCAGGCCTCACAGGAGCACCAAAGACTAGGAATCCCATCATCGAAACGTGCACTTTTCACCGGGTTCCCTTGTCCTCCTCTGGTCCCCCACTCGGCGTGTAGGGCTTTCTGAAAAACTGCTGTCACGCTACACAGGACCATACCGCGTCGTTCGCCAGGTGACTGACGTTACATACGAGATCGTTCCAGCCGATTCAACGTCATCATCGTCACCTTCGAGTGACATCGTGCACATAGCTCGACTCAAACCTTATCACCCTCCTTCTACCGCATCCGAGTTTCTCAAGCATCGAGACGGTGCTTCTACCGCCGGGGGGTTATGATACACAACCGCGGGCACAGCCTTGCTGCAAGAAAGAGAAAGACGACGTTGGTGGCTGGTTGTTGATGAACTGTCGCCATCTTGTTCGCCGAGCACGGTGCATCGTATTTAATTTATTAAATAAGTTACCCGTAACATTATTATCACTTAAGTACCAATCCGGCTTTAAGAGCACTCGAATTTGGGTGAGTTTGTACTTATCCACAAAAATGCTTCCATGTGCGTCAGCCAGCCATCTATTAACCTATTAACCAGTGCAGCGACTTACCTGTTTTCGACGCTGAGATCAGGTCAGCGGCAGCTACTCGCTCGCTTGCCGTGACGGGTGTGGTTTTTGACCTATGTTGTTTGATTTCCTGTATGATGTCAACATGCGTAGGAGGCAGACACGTGGGGGTTTTATTGCGTTTTTCGTTTTTGTTTGTGTTTTTCAACTCTGGGGTGATAGTTTTCCTTCTGTTTGTTTTCTTAGATTGTAGTTTCTCACGCATGCGTTTCTGTGTTCGGTGTAGGATAAAAGCTGGCTTCTGTGAAACTTCAGTATAGAGGTGAGTGCTCGTCTGTGTAACTCTGTATATCGTTTCTTGCCTGTTCACGCGCTCTAATTTACCACTATATACCGATCTGGCGGTTAATTTAAAGGTTGATCCATGTACCCGGACCGCTGACCCGTCCGCACAGCCATCTCCTCTCTGAGCGCGTCCAGGAGTTCCCTGCGTTCCCGGGGCTCGGCCTCTTCGAGCAGGATCTTCGCCGAACGTCCCAGCGAGTTGATCAGCATCTCGTCCGGGTCCATCGACCGCATCAAGACCTGCGTGCGCGCTTGGATGCGCCTGGGCTTGAACGCGCACTGCTCCTTCGAGGTCTTCGTGAAGTGGTTGCCCGTCAGGGGCAAGCTGGCCGGATGTCCCATGTGGCCGCAGGTGCGGCCGTCCGCGCAGCTGGACGCGCACGTGCCGGCCAGGAAGTCGTCGTAGCTCTTGCACGAGCGCGTCGGGAAGTTGCACAGGCGCACCGAGTCGGCGTAGTACTCGGTCGCCTTCGAGTGCGAGCAGGCTGCGATGAGGCAAAACAATGAAGGGAACTGCAATGCTGCCTGCTTTGCTGGGTCGGTTGAAGGGTCACTAAAGAGCAACGATGACTTGGTTCAGATTGACAAACTGCACTCTGAGAACTATAGTATCGTGTGTTTCACTATCACAAGTTCGTAATTAGCGGAGAAAATCAAAGTTGAAGTATTATTTTTAAGTTTCGCGCCAAAATCTCTGCGCGTGGCGTGAGGAATCACAAAATGTGTTTTTGGTAGTTTAGTAGCATTGACTCGATGAAAATTTTTTGAAATATTGTATGATAAGGCTGTGGCATCCACAGATTACAATGTACTTCATTCTTATCGATTGGAAGCTACTATAGGACCGAGTAGACGCTTCATTACGTCACGGGGTTTAGTGCGGGAATCTCAAACGCCACCCGCGTTTAATTTTAGCGCGTTTTCTCGCTTACGAAGCGTGGTGTCGTGGTAATAGTGGTGTTTTCGGGATTGTGAAGTTGTCTTTTACTAACACGTGAAAAATCTTTCTGCTCTTTAGTGTCCCTTTAAATTAACGTTTGGAGAGATGGGCGACTTTTCTCGTGTTAGTAAATTACTTAACACCTACAGCTCACAGAGAGGACAGGAACACTCAGGTAAGACGTGGACACAGCTCCACAAATAAGGTTTACGTGTTTTGATGACAAAAAAAAAATGGTCATAATGCATGCGTCGCCGATAACAGCAATCTTGCCAACAAAACACTCACGACTGAATTTCCAGCAGCCGGGTTGCTGTTTGCCACCGTTTGGGTAGAAGTCCACGTGGCCGCAGCTCTTGAACATGCCCAACCTGCCCTGGACGACGTCCGTCCATCCGGTGCCCACGCTCGTATGAAGCACGTCCACAAAGTCGGCGTCGTCGGCGGTCAGATGGACGCCGTACGACTCGAACAACGGACCCGCCGGATCCAGACCTACGCACACGACGCCCGTTGAGCTCAGTCAGGGAAATACATCATCATCCCGTAGCATCATCCCGTCCGCGAGGCCTATAGCTGCCGTCGACTGCTGCTCGAGCAGAGAGGAAACTTCCCGCCCGTCTGGATGGAACATAACGGAACGTCGGATAGGGGGAGCGGGGTGGGGCACTAGATTAGAAATTGGCAATTTTGATGTGGTCGCGATGGCTAGCGCGCGCGCCTGCTCGGCAGGCATTAGCAAACGGCTCAGATGCTCTTCTACTCGCTGCGCTCTCAGCGCGAAGAGACAGCACGATAGCTGCTTCTGTCTCTCTGGAGCGGCCGTATCCTCTAAATTTAAAGTCCAGTGAGACACCACAGGGATCAAGGAGGCGAGGAACTTGCGTGTTGTGACGGGTTGTGTTTTGACTATGTTAGCTCAACGTGGGGCAAAAGGGGAGACAAATTGTGGAGAGGGAGGTGGTAACCTCCCCCCGTGCATCGCCCCCCTGGCATCGGTGCGGGGCAAAGGACGAGCTGAGAAATCGCTGCACAAGCAAGCCTGATAGAGCCAGCATGTTGACGAGGGGGCCTGGCTTGGTGGAATACTGACGTCTGATGAACTTCCAGTGCTCAACAGAAATAGTGTATAGGGCAGCGGGAACGTAGATGTAGAAAAAAACTAACCATTCGTAAGAACACTTATTCGGGCAACAACTGCTTTCGTTGCCAAAATTCCATTGTAACACCCGTTTAACATTGCAACCGGTGTAAGCGTGTGCCATTTTCTTTTTGGTAATCCTTCCTTTATAGGTCTTTTTTTTGAAAACAGATTCTAAACCACATGAGCCACAGTTCTCGCGTTTTCGCAATACTATGCACCATACATTGGCGTTACCTACTTGCCCAGAAGTTTGTCATTTGTAGTTTATACCAACTTTCTGAAAGAACCGAACAACAAAGGGACGTTTGTTCTGTCCCGCTATATAAACATTCTTTCTGTCGCTTCTATTCTTCCGTCATCCGTATCCAGCTTTTTATTTCGGTACAATCTTCCACCTCATTCCTATTGAGGCCGAGGGAGAGTGAGCACAAATTGCATAAAAAGGTCTGCTAAAGGAAGCAAGCGGTTGCCACCTCGTCGAAGTTCGAAAACAATAACGCTCCAAAAACATTCTTTGTTCGATGGTGCCTAAGTGGTGGCAAGTATTGGTTACTCTATGGGCTATAGAAACAGCAACATTACGTCTTCATTCAGTCTAAATATAGTGATGCTCCGGCATACACACAGACAACTGGGCAGGTTCGATTGATATTGAATATGTATTCCTTGCCCTCTGCATTTCAGATTCTGCGACTCCGTCTGGTTTCTGACTGAAAGCACAGCGTGTTCCCGAAAGCAAGGCAGTCCCAATATATCTTTTCAAGTATAGTCATAGGACCTCAACTACTGATTACTGACCCCGTAAGAATGTAAAGTGCTTTACTGTGAGACATCCCACCTTCACTTGACCGATTAAATGTTATACCATCTCCATCCTACTCCTTCTAAATCACCGTATACTTACTTGCACACCGCCAGTACTCGTCTAGGTTTGGCTGATGTGTACCCGGTCTAATAACGAGCGTCTACATTGTCTTACACTTCGATGGTTCAGTTGTCTGCACAATTTCCGCCACTGTGGTGTATACTGGTTCGGATGCTCGGCTGCCTATACCCGAAGGTCGCCGATTCGATCCTGGTCGCGGCGTTCTCGTTTCGATGGACGCGAAATGCTAGGAGCTTTAGTACTGTGCATGCTATGGTCTAAATCACCGGAGACCTCCACTACGTCGTGCCTCATAATTACGTCGTGGTGTTTGCACGTAAAGCCCCAGATATTACGTCTTTACACCTTTCTTCTGCTACCACTCGTCATCCAATCTCGCAAATCGAGAAAGATGCCGAACCGGTGATGCGTCCGACGAGCCGTCCCGTGAGTTGCTTGACGTCCTTGCCGAAGAAGCCTCCCGTCTGGGCGCCCAGGCTGTGGCCGATGTAGTGGACGCGCTCGAGCGCCACCGCGCCGGCGTCCACCAGTGTCTTGACGAGCAGCGCCAGCGTGCGGGCAACGGTGCGGGTGTTGGCCGCCGCCGTGCTGTAGCCCAGAACCGAGCCGCACCCCTTGCTCCAGTCCACGAGCACCACGGAGGCGTTTTCCTGCGACAACGTGGATTATCTGCAGTGTTGTTTATCTATAGAAAAGGGTGAGCAGCTTATATTAAGGACCGCTGGTGTATATATTTCGAATCTAGACTGCTCACTGACACCTCCTCGCAGAATTATTTTTTTTTCTATCTCAGAGGGCCCACGACGCGGCGGTGAGGCTCGGCCTACCCGTTTCGACGTGGGAGTCGCCCACTGCTCTACCTCCTTGAGGTAGTGTTCCTCAAGACGTCAATAAAGTCTGTCTGTCTGTCTGTCTGTCTGTCTGTCTGTCTGTCTGTCTGTCTGTCTGTCTGTCTGTCTGTCTGTCTGTCTGTCTGTCTGTCTGTCTGATACCATTACTGCTAAGAGGACCCCGTTTCTGTCCGGCGAAATTTGCGAGAACAACTGATAGTTTCTCGAGATTCGAGGAGCACGAGTCCGCACTCCCTCCCATGGGGCAAAGCGTCCGGGTAAATAGAGACAACCGACTAAATATTACGATGGGCACGTGCCGCAAAGTCATGTACTCGGGCGTCGCAAAGTCCGACCAATGGAAAGGAAAATTATAAGTGTAACCCTAAGGGACAAAAAAAATAGCAGAGTGTATCGGGGAACAAACTGGTCTTAAGGACATTATAGTCGAAGCCAAGAAGAAGAAGTGGGCAGGGCGCTTAGCGAGAAAGCAAGATAACCGCTGATCATTAAGGATCACAGGCTGGGCTTCAAGAGAAGGCAAGCGGCTGGAGCTGACACAGAAGTTTAAGTGGGCAGATGAGATTAGGAAGTTTGTGGGTATAAAGTGGCAGCAGCAAGCACAGGACCGAGTTGACTGGCGGAACATGGGAGAGGACGGCATTTGTCCTGCAGTTGGCGTAGTCGTGCATATATATCAAAAAGGTGCAATTATTTCTTTGTCGACGTTTCAAGATGATGAAGAACGTCTTGATGGAGATTGGTCTCCAATCGAAACGTCGACTAATTAAGAATATATTGATATATATATATATATATATATATATATATATATATATATATATATATATATATATATATATATATATATATATATATATATAATCTATTTCGGTACAGCGATAGACAAGCACGCAGCGGGTACACCCGTATCATATACCTTGTCCAGTATCTCGTCCTTCATTTCCTGCATCCACTCCGTCTTGGCACTGCTCAGAAATCCGTGCACGATTATGTACAGCTTCTGGCCTGCATCGATCAGGGACGCCATGTCACTGAAGCCAATCCGATCCAAGCCGGTCTCGAAGAGGAGCTTGTCGGGATTGTTGGCCTTGTTTGAGTGCAGCAGGAACCGGGGCTTCACCTAAACAACATAAACAGCGATTTGGAAGCTGTGACGCGCTGTGTTACAATGTCCAATATATTGGACAAATTTCCCATAGCCGGGTCTCAGGAGGATATAATCAAAGGAGCTGGTGAGAAGCCGTGGCCTGTTTTGGTTTGAGTATAGTCGGTTACAACTTTGGAAGTCAGTGCCATTTCCTCCTCAAAGGCGGATGCACACAAGCCTGCACCAATGGGCGTGTGCACTAGACTGACGTCATGAGCCGGACGGTTGTTGATCCCACTTACAGAGAACGTTGCCGAGAGCGGGACTATTTCTTTAGTCGCCGAGGTGATCGGCTGCCGCGCTTCCGTCGTCTGCGCGGGGCCCTCCCTGGCTTTTACGTTGTATCCGACTATACACGTCAATACAGTATAGCCTCCTCCACGACACCGCGCGCGTCCTGCCCGATTTCTGGCCTCGTGTCGGGAGTTGTTCTACCAAGTAAGCACAAAAACGTATCTGCGCAATCCCAGGCAATCGCTTGACATTCGAGGATAAGTTCTCGTGCCTTCTTTCCCTGCCGCCGTTGTGTGTCTTATTTTCCAGTCGTTAGTCGGCGATCGTGGTGTCTTGATTCATTTCTGTTCGCGTTTGTGTGCAGTGTTCTAGAGGGAGTACTCACCAACTGCCTGAGCGAGCTATCTTTTAGTGTAAGCTTTGTAGACCAACCTCGGGGAATCGAGGACTAACCTTGTGCGGACCCTGGGGCACGAAGTACTTGAGGTTTCCGGAAATGTCGAAATGCCCTGGCAGATCCGGAAAGGATAGGCTATTCGTGGCTTCGGAGTGGCTGTAGTAAGGCGCCTCCTGCGTACGCTTTACGGAAAGCGCAATGTCTCCGAAGTCTTCCTTGCTCAGCTCGTCGTACATGTAAGCCGAGTCGTCCAGCACGACGTTGGAGCGCAGTTCGTAACTGCGTGGCACTGCGGCCATCGGCACGCCACTGCGGCCCGTCAGCTCGAAGTCATCATCTTCTTTTGGTGTTCTCATTCCTAGAGAAAAAAAAAGCGTCAACAGGGCTTCTTGGGAATGTTGGATTATTTAGTGTCGAGCAATCAATAAAGCGTGATTATACTATGACGTAACGGGACGGGGAGGTGTATAAGATACATGGGAGCACTTTAGGCTACCTTACTGGGCATGACTTTCGAGTTGCGAAACTGTGCAGCTCGATCAAGTTCAGTGGTTTAAGTGGTAGCACATTTCCAAGCAATCATCTAATTACCTCAGTATCAAAGTGTACTGCCCCACAAATCAATTGCCTCAAAAGTTTCACTCATTCGTTAAGAACAAGCACAGGTACAGGCGTAGACGTGCCCACGGAGGGGGCTGCAGGAGGGCTGCCGCCCGCTTAGTCACCTAAGAGGAGGGCGCATTAATATAATAGGGATTGGGTGCAGGAGTCAGCCCCATGCATGGACATAATAGGGAGGGGGGCGTTGCGAATAATCTTCCCCCCACCCCTGAATTGGAACTCAGCGCACGCCTATGGTTACAGGAGTTTGTCGTGCGCTTTAACCCTGTTTTCTCGTCCCTATGAGCGTGCTGGAAGCTGCTCACTGAAACATAATTACGTAAGCGGTTACGTAAGGTTACGTAAGCGGGAATCACGATCCTGATCGCGCGTGAGGAAATGCGATCACTCCCTTCATCTGTGATTCCTGCGCCCGCTAATGTGGCCACTGTGTAATGTTAGCAGACTTTGGCGAGTGGCGCCGCCACGCAGGGGCACCCCGCGACAAGATGCGCACTCCACCAAAGCCACCTAGAACAGGTTAAGGCCTGCGCACTCCCTCCGTGACGTCACGCACCTTGCCCGAGTGGGCCGCGCCTCGCGAAAAAGTTTGTCTGCTAGCCGTCCAGGCTCTACTCACTTCCATGCACTAGATGTGTGTGGGGTTGCCTTCCACAAGTCGCAGAGTGCTAATCACATATATGTACTTTTCTGCCAAGCGTGCAGATATAAATTTGAGGGCAAGTTATGTCAAACTAAGACATGCTAAAAGAAGCTTTGATTATTGTGTCCGAAAGCCGTAGCGTTAGAAGTGTGCCACAATATGGTATGGCGCATTTCTATTTTTTTTTTGAATAAAAAGAAATAAACTACGATCCAATATATTTCATGGAGACGACATCATTTATTTATTCTAACGTGAATCTTCAAGACGTTGAAGGTAGCTTAATTGAGCGTTTTCAGTTTCCTCTTCAGTGTTGCGCCCTTCTTTGCCGCCGTTAACTTGTCGGTTTTCATTTGGACGTAGTTTTTCAGTAAGGTGTTGGTGGCTGCCCACAAGATGTTGTGAAGCACTGTCTCCGGATGGTGTCCTTTGCAACAAATGTCCAAATCTTCATTGTCAATTAAAAGGTGCTTCACCACACTGAGAAGAAGCTGCCTTTGGTGCCGTGCTGCATGAAACCGGGTGGTGTTCTCTTTCGAGGTCAACTTTTCAAGCACGATTTGTGTGTGCAGAACAGCACTTATTACTACTGGTTGAGGAAATTTTAGGGCCCCTCTTGTGAGGCCTTCGATTAGCATATCATCAACCATTGGTATATCCCTATCTTGTCTCGTGATGTTGCCGCACAATCTTCACAGGGAATTTTCCTGAGAGCGGCGTGGGCGCAGTAACCTGCAATATACACTATTGCAGGCAAGCTCTCCTTTTTTGATTTCACGTCCTCTTCAGTCAACTTGATGCCATATTCTTCTATCACCTTGGCTGCATCAAACACAATACTGCTAGGTTGGGACAGTTCTTTCATATCTGGAAAAACCAGCGAGTTCTGAAGCCTCAGTTTTGCTTCTGATTCAAATATTTGTTGGACGGAAATATGGTAGTTGGATCCACATAGCCGACGGTAACGACCAAACCTCTCCTCGAGGCTGTCTGTCTGAAACTTTGCAAGCAAGACATATTCAAAACCTAGCTCCTCCAGGCAATACCGACTGACTTCGATCAAGGAGTACGACGTGAGACGTAGCGCTGAGTGCGTCTTCGTGGTTAACAGTCCTGCACGGCCAGGGCCAATCTTCAAGTTTTCCCAAGTGTCAAGCCAGTCCACGAATGCATTAAGAAACTGCAGCTGCATGTCCTCCATACTTCTTACGGGTGCTTGAAGAGGATTTCTTAGGTGCTTGCCTTTCGATGGTGTTTTAGTGTTCACAACGCACCACCACTTGTGTATTAATTCAATAAATTCAGCAGTTTCTCGGGCACAACTCAAACCAAGCTTTGCACCATAAGTTTTTAGTGCTTCTGCAATAAATGGACTGATCACTTTCAGTGCTAGCTTCACGTTTTGTCTTTCGATGTTAGAGGGGTTCAAAGCCTTATAAATAAGTCCGTATCCAAGCTTCGAAAGATTGTGTTGCTCGGAAGCGTACAGTTCACGAAGTGTTTCAAATGTTGCTTTCTTCACTTGCACCTCTGATGTCGTACTTGAAAATTCAGGATAAAAAATGAAACAGCCTTCATTTTTCTGGTTCAACCAGTTGTTACGGATGCACTTTAATAAATGCACGGTATCGACAACAAAAAATAGCGGCCTTGAATTGTCTGCTGGATGTGGGTAAACAATGTCTATTGTGTTATTTTTTGAAAAAAATGACATTACTTTTCGGTTCACAGCGTTGTTATCAGTGATAACGGCAATTACTGTAAGTCCCGCTTTTTCAAGACCCAAAATTACTTTTTTCAGGATGTCGTGCAAATGGCTGGCTTCAATGCTGAAAACGGGAAGGATGTGTACCACATCTTTGTGCGCAGAAAGCAATGAATTTGTCATGAACACGTGTGCTGTTTTTGCCGCTTCAGAGGAATTCGATGCCGTCCCTGTTAATGAGCCACCCTTATACTCAAAATATTGCTGGATGTGAATTTCATCTAACATGAGCGTTACGACTCTTTCGTGTGGCTTTAGAAGGCTCACTTTTTTTGTAATGTACTGCAAAAAGCCTTCATCGCTTTGTTCGTTTGCAGGACTTGCATTGTACTTGCTGCACAGCCTTAATATTGTGGAAGGATGAGGTAACATCAATTTCCCAGTGTTGCGAACGAATTTATATGCGTGAGGAGAGATCGTATGAAAAATGCTAGATAATATAAGAATATCTGAAGAATATCTCATAGCTCCTCGCTCTTTAAGAAAAAGGCGCATCTGTTCCTTCAGAAACTCGAACGCTTCTACTTTCTCTTCTGGTAGGAGGTCACCATCAGACAGGTCATCAAAAATAGAAAAAATAATGTGGAAGCAGGCTTTCAATTTTTCTTCTTTTTCGCAGACGTCTGGAGCATTCAAATGCTCCACACTTTCAAGAATAGTGTACAAGCTCCGAATGTCCTCTAGTTTTTCAGGAATGGGAACATCAGCAATGTGCAGCGTCATCTTTTTCCAGTAGGCAGAAATGTGCAATTCATCGGAAACAACCACAGAACGTTCCACCTCTGGAGGTAGTGTGTTCCTCTGAATATGCAGAAACATAACTGCAGCTTCCGTGCTGCTCACTATCCAATAGTCCGACAACTTAAGTTGTGAGAGTTGTGACACGAGCTGCTCGAAAGATGCCACTCTATTCTTGCGTTCCTCCTCTTCGTGCGAAACAAGCGACATCTGAATGCCCGTTAGTAGCTGGTCTGCCTCACGGTGCTTCCGTTTTGCGTCAGGCTCCTTGCGAACGGGAGCACAGTCGGATAGATAAGCGGGGCTGTTCGGAAACATCGTCGGCACTGCATCTTCGGTTAGTCGAGTAAGGCTCATCGGAACTTCTATAGTCTTTCCGTTGCTATCCGTGTAAGTGGTGGTAGTCCTCAAATACTCTGCTTTAAATGAAGTTCGCAGACCTGCGATATGCAAAAGCAAAAAGAATGTTTTAAAATATTTTAGCAACATTTTATATATGTTTTTCTGCCTGATTACATTCTAGAACGTTATGATTAGCAAGGATTGAAATCTAGAGTGACGCTGCTCCGTAATGCACTGCACTAGCACAGATCTGCGACACAGAATTCGCTTTGTGTGAAGGTTTATCGGTAAAAATTTTAAATGCTTACCTTCGGATCACGCAGAGTGTCGATGTCGACGTCCTCGCGACGAATAGCACGTTTCCATTTTATCCTGCGGTCGTCTTTAGGGAAGGAGAACAAGCGGACCTTCGGTCCACCGTCATAATTTCCACGACAGTTCGGCACGCAGCAGCGGCCCATCCTGTGAACTTCCTGGTAATTTCACGCGAACAAACTTCACTGCTTGGACTCCAGATAACACAGCCAGGGCCAAAACTTGCACATATCTCCGAAGAACGTCCACCAGCACTATTTCAAAATTCTTGTGCAGCGTAGAACCTCGCTTTGCCAGGGTCAAACAAGTTCTAACAGGCTCGCCCTAACGAAGGGAGTCACTGAGCCTGCATTCCCCAACCGGTCCTCACAATGCCCACCAGTTCGTCGGGCTAGGTGTGCTGACGTCAGACAAGGAAACGAAGGGAGTGAAGGGGCCTTGCAAATTCTAGGAGGCGCTGACTCCACCCACCCGCCGCTCTTGCCTTATGTCGGCCATTAGCCAATAGCATGCTATCTGCTTTGTGACGTCAAAGAGCAGGCGCCGGCATCTCCGAAGAGAGTGAGCGTATAGGCCTGTGTATGAAAAGAGAGCCCCTGAAATAAATGCAACTTCACACTTTGCTTCAGAACTCTCGTTGTTGTGCCCGACTGGAAAAAATGGCTGAACTTTTTCATTGTGGTGTCGGCTTTCCACCAGGTGTGTGTGTGTGTGTGTGTGTGTGTGTGTGTGTGTGTGTGTGTGTGTGTGTGTGTGTGTGTGTGTGTTTACGAAACCTGAGTAGTTGTTGATGATCTTTTCAATGAACAAATAATCAATCAAAATGAATTGGGAGGTGCGAACGGTGTGAAGGTGATAATTTTTCCGGCTGAAATGTAGCGAACTGCCCACAAATCCGCTTCTGAAGAGAGAACGTGGGTCTCAGGATACGATCTCAGATCCGTGTAAGTTAGACTCATATGTACGGTATGTTAAACTTTTTTCGGATCTTCAAGATCAACCCTTAGGTCGACTCATGTAGGTGGTTCCCACGTTGAGACAATGGGGTTTAACCTTACCACGATATCGTGGGCCTTCTTGACAGCCCGTGCTTGATCTGAAAGTACTCTACTGTGAGGGACTCTTTGCCACCAGTCTCTTTCCTTGTGACACTCATATGTGTGTGATGCCCAAATCCGCGAGTTGGGTCGTCTGCCGCACCATCGCTTAAAATTTCGTACTCGAGTGTTTGTTAGTGGGCTTCTCCTGTAAGCTCTTGTCCCGCTTTTTTTTGTGCTTTTTCTGATCATCATCTATTGTCAACTCGCCCAATCGTCTGTTCTTCTTGTGGACTGGACTGCGATCACATATTTCCAACGTGGGATAAATAAACGCGTAGACAAAAATACTTCATATTATCTTTTTCGCGTGTCGGACTTCTTTCGCGATATTACTCTGAAAATAAAGTGCAGGCGACGCTCCCTGCATTCCGCACTTGTTTCGAGAATATTCTCACAAAACGTTGCTTATTTGTCACTTATTTCCTAATGAAAGGCAAGTGGCAATCACCGGATCAACTCATAAATGAACGGATTATTTTTGAAATGTTGCAAATAGATGTTCATTTAATGACATGCTTTGGTTGCAAATAACACACACACACACAAAGTAAAGGAACACTCAACGACAAGCACAAGCACTGGTCTTTTACTTTCTGTGTGTGTTATTTGCTTTCTGTGTGTGTTATTTTTTATATGTACCTTTTTTCGCATTCTTGCGTAATCTGAAATAACTTTTGATAGTGGCTAGTCCGTTTAGTTCGTTTGAATTTAGCGGATAACCGCCTTCTCTTATTGATTAGCCGCAACAGACATGACGTCATCCACGGCTTTCATCGTTTTTTTCATTTTGGAGGAATCCGCGTTTGGCACATGTGCCGCAACGATTTCAAGTAGCTTATTCTTGAACAGATGCCACAATTCATGCACATCCTTATTATCCGCCAGGCATTCGAAGACCGGTAGATAACTATACAGTTCTTCATTTATGCTAGAATAATCGCCGCGGTCAAAGAAGAATACTCTTCTATTCCCGCTGTGCTTCATGTGATGAATTTTCGTTTTTATAGATGCGACTACAGCGTGGTGGTCACTTAATCCCGGAATAACAGTTGTTGAGTTTACAAGGTTTGGCGAGTTGCAAAACAATGTCTAAAATACTGTTTTCACGGGTTGGCTTGGTTACATATTGCAACAGACCGTGGATATCAATAATCTCTTCCTGCGTTAATCCTGCGTTAATGTTCCTGCGTTAATCTGGCAAGATTCAAGCTCACGTGTTACACCGCACTTATACAGCCGCCAGTATGTGTAAGTTCAGGGTTACATACCGTACATGGCCATCAGTATGGGTAGGAAGTTCATGGTTGGTATATCTGGCTGAGTACTCTCCACGTGTCAACCGCTTAAATGGCGAACTCACCTGGAAGAACAGAAACGGTGTTGCAGCATGACCTGATTCAGAAGACCACACGTAACTGCAAATCCGAGCTAAGCGGACGTATATAGCAAGATGATATTTGAAATTTCCGAGGGAGGGTCCAACGTCGCCCTCCCGGCTATACGCAAATGACGACCATCTTCATGACCGAAAGGTAATTGAAAGGACACGCTGATTAGCTGTTCTTTGAAGCACTATGGCAGTTATTTCGTCATTATAGGTTCACGATTGCAATAAAGAAAACGAAGATCAAAACTTCGTATTCGAAATTCGCGCCAGAGTGTGACGTTGCATACTTCCAAATTTTTCTCATTTTTGCGTATTTTCGCCACATTGATTCGATAAAGGTTGCTCAATATCTGTGTATCTCGTTGATGTCTCATTAAGAAGAATTTCCTTTTATTTGAAACACAATTCCCTAGGCCTTGGGAAACGCAATGAATGTCTACGTTGTGAGGACGAGTTGGTGCGGGAACGTCATGCAAGCTATATAGATACTTGTGCCCTCTCGTGGCGCGTTTCCTCGTTTACCGAGCGTCTTCTCGTGGTGAAAGCGCTGCTCTTTGTAATAGAAAAATGATAAGTTTGAGAGTCAAAAACCTTCCGTATACAGTGTCCCTATAAACATGCAAGTAAAGGTGAAATGTGGTAAGAAAGGAGACGTGCAACGCTGGATCACAGCAGAGCTGGTATATGCCTAGTTAGTCTTGGCTTGGCTATAGGCTTTTTTTACCCTCTCACCTCTATCTTTCTTACTCATTGCTATAGCATACTATTCTATATTATACTGTATACTGCTTTAATTCACTTATTTTTTTTACTTTTTTTCCTGATTGATTGATATGTGGGGTTTAACGTCCCAAAACCACTATATGATTATGAGAGACGCAGTAGTGGAGGGCTCCGGAAATTTCGACCACCTGGGGTTCTTTAACGTGCACCCAAATCTGAGCATACGGGCCTACAACATTTCCGCCTCTATCGGAAATGCAGCCGCCGCAGCCGGGATTTGAACCCGCGACCTGCGGGTCAGCAGCCGAGTGCCTTAGCCACTAGACCACCGCGGCGGGGCGACTTTTTTTTTCTTTAGTCTTCGTTTATCACTTTTACATTATATTTATAGGCAAACCACGACCACAATGGATCTGTTGTAGAACTCCTATAGCCCGCACGTGCCTTAAAAATTAGGCAACCTCCGCTACTGACCACACTGGTCCACTAAGATTGGCAATAGAACACACGGGAATACTGATTAGGGGCAGCAGGTTGCAGCTGCTATTTCTAACCGTTGTTGGGTAGCGCACAAATCAATAAAACACAAAAGAAGGGAACAGGCCAAGCGCTGCATGGACCTGTTCCAGCGCTTGTCCCATTCCTTCCTTTTGTATTTTATTAATCTCAGTGCACTACCCAACGATGAATAAGTTCCCACTCGCCCGCCTTTCAGTCTAGCTTCTTAACCATCTGTACCGAATAGTTGGATGGTGATCCAGCGCGTAACGGCTCATGATGGTGATATATATTTTTTTTACCTATGACCCACGGCAGACCTAGACTATAATAACGGCTCTGCTGTAAAATGAGCGCAGATATAAACTTGTATTTCAGTTAAGTCGTTTCAATAACGCTATACGCTTCGAGTCTCTCTTTTCTTACTTTCGGACCGCGGAACGCCAACCTCAGGCCAGCCTACACTCCTAAAATACGTTAACTTCGGTGACGACTTCGATCTCGCCTTCAAACTGCCGTTCCGGGACGCCGTGGGCAAAGTGTTGCGTACAGTGACTTCAGCTGCGTGAACACAGGTGGGAGGGAAGGAAACGCGAACATAAAGAACCCCAGGTGGTCGAAATTCCCGGAGCCCTCCACTACGGCGTCTCTCATAATCATATGGTGGTTTTGGGACGTTAAACCCCACATATCAATCAGGAAACGCGAACAGCGCGACACGCCGTTTTCGTCGCCGTCTGAGCTAGGCGGCAATAAAACGATGCTAGAGTGGTCCTTGATTATCATGGTTGACTGCAGTGCGCTTTCATTACCATTCAGGGTATACAGCTGCTTGAACAGAAATGTGATACATCAGAGAACGCTGATGCCTCACTGTACGCGTTTTTTTTTCGTTTTTTTTAATCGCCCGTGTATATAGCCTACATACCTCGACATAATGAAGTTGAACACAACATACTCACCACTGGTATAGGAGTGCCAGGTCAAATTGCTGAAGCGAAACGTCTCTTACTTTACATTCTGACAGCCACTACGCACGATTTGAATGCTTTACGTATGAGCGGTGCGTAA